CCGCGGGGCGGGCCGATCACCTGCAGCTGCTGCTGTCCATCCGGCCCCGCCACCACCCGCGCCTGGATGAACACCGCCCGCTGCTGCTGCTGCCCCGCCGCGCCCGCCGCAGCCGCCGCCGCCGGGGCGGCCCCGTTGTGCGGCGCCGCGGGCGCCGGCGGCGGCGGCGGCTGCAGCGGGCGGAAAACCGCCGTCCGGCAAGTCGGGCAGCTCTGGCTGCGCTCCAGCCACGACCGCAGGCACCGCAGGTGGAACACGTGCCCGCAGGCCAGCCGCTTGTTGCTGCCGCCCGCGAGCATCTCGTCGCGGCAGACGACGCACGTGAAGTGGCAGCGGGCGAGGTCGTCGGGCGACGCGTCCGGGAAGCGGTCCATGCGCGCGGTGACCTGGCGGAAGCGCAGGAAATCCGAGATCCTGTTGCGGAAGTTGCGGAACGTGATGTAGAGATCCCGGATCTGCGGGTGGACGCGCGGGCGGCAGGCGGAGGGTCAAACGAGGGGCGCGGGGGCGACGTCGTAAAGCCGCAAACACGAGCCCGATGGCGGGCGCGCGGGGGCGTCGTCTGGGGGTGCCCGCATTGCCGTTGACCGGCGGTCAAAGCGCGCGGGTGCGCGCGTGGGGGCCGCACCAGGTGCAGGGGCAGCCCGTAATGGGTGAAGACGATGACGAAGAACACAAGGTACACCAGGAGGTGCAGCATGTCAGTCATGAGCTCGGTGTAGAAGACCCACGCGCCCTGGGAGGCACGGGTTGGTAGGGGTGAGGTGAGGGATGCATGTGTGTGTGTGTTTGTGTGTGTGTTTGTGTGTGTGTTTGTGTGTGTGTGTGTGTATACGTGCTTGGTATGTGAGTGCACGTGCGTGTGTGCACACGTACGTGTGGTTACAGCGATACTTGAAGGTGAAGCACCACTGGATGGGCCCCGCTCCTTGTCAAGCCCCGCGTCTCGCCAAGCCCCACCCCGCACGGAAGCCTTCGGCCGAACCAGGGCCCAGGCGGGCGCCCGCCCAGGTCGGCGCCCATCAACCGCCTGGCGGGCGCGCGGCCGCGACGCCCCTCACGCCACGGCCGCCCTCGGCGCCGCGGCGCTCCCGACCACCCGCCCCTTCCCGACACACAAGGAACGTACCGCCCGCCCGCTGCACCACGACCGCCCACCTTGCCCTCCCATCTGCCCTCCATGGCGGCATCCACCATGCTCATGACGTACTTCGCCCCTGTCGCCACGATGCTGCTGGCCAAGATCACGTATTCGAACGCGAACAGCAGCTGCACGCTGTGGCCGCCGCTGGCCAGGGTGGCGGCGATGGTGTGCTGCAGAAAGGCGCAGTCGAGGCCCTGGGAGCCAACAGGGGCGAGGTGCCGAGCGGGTGCGAGGGGCAGCATCAGGGTGGCTCTTGGAGTTGTCGGCCAGGGGCCTGTGGCTCTGAACAGCAGGGGACGGTCAGCTCACGTGCAGCGCATCGCCCGCACAACGGCAGGCGGTCAAGAGCGGTTCGGGCGGCGCCAACGCAACGGCAAACAGAGCGGGGCTCGAGCTGGGTGTGGCTTTCGTTGTTTCAAGGGGGAGGAGGGGGCGCGGGCAGGCCTACCAGCAGGACCGCCATGAAGGTGATGATGCGCGCGTGCGCGAGGCGCGAGACGCTGGGGGTGACCTCTATATAGTCCACCCGGTCCTGCGGCAGGGGGCGGTCAAAGATGGTCAAAGCTGGTCAAAAGCGGTGAGACGAGGTTCGACGCGTCCTACAACGCGGGGACGTGCCAGCAGCCCGTCAAGACAAGGTGGAGGGCGCCTGCAGGCCGCCACGGCAGCAGGGAGCGGGAGCACTGCCGGCGCCGCGCGCGACAACCGGGGCTGGTTGGGAGCGTGGGAGGCCTGCACCGGGAATCGCGCTCAGCTGCGGGGTCCCAGCAGACGCCATGAGCCCATCAAATATACCATCATAAAACCATTCTGTGTGTGAAACACAGAAGCCGCTGCATAGCACACTGCAGAGCTCCTAGATGCGCCAGAGGGGGCCGCTTCCGCCCGCTCGCGTCCGCGGGCGCAACAGCATGCAGGGGCGCCGGGGCCCGGCAGCGCACCTGCACCAGCCAATGGAAGACCTTCACAAAAGTCAACGCCGCAAACATCGCGACGAAGCTCATGTTGAACTCCTCCCTGTTGTGTGTG